TTATTGACTTATATGATTTTTATTGTCTTAGGAAGCACATGTAGATTTACAATCAAAAACATTGTGTGATAAGCTTGATGATTTTGTTGAAAATGATAATGTTTCAATTAGTACATCACCTGTTGTTCTTGCTGCGGATTTTCTTCAAACAGCAGGAAAATCAACACTTCTTCATCAGGTATTAAATATAATTTAAGAGTTTAGTTTTCTTTAGAAATTTCTCCGAGTTGATTAAGAAATTTTTTTATATATGATGGCGAACTTAAGTTTACAGCAGCTGTATTTTTGAGTTTTCTTTTAAATGATAATAACTAGGAAGAATTTGAAAAAGTATTTGAGTAGCTGAAATGACTCTCTTTCAGAGCTAGTGGAGTTAAAAACTCTCACAAAAAAATGCTTTTATGGCATTATTTTAAAGTTTTCTGCAAATGATTTTATTTGACAGAGCAAAATGAGATGTCTCGGCTTTATTCCTGACCTTCCTCCATAGAACTGCATTCAATTTATAGCAAGTCCCAAAATGGAGTCTGTCGAGTTAGTCCCAGAGCCGCTCAGGTTCGAATTCGAAAAAGGTCCTAAAAGATTTTGTGCTCATAAGTCCTTCTTCTTCAATTAAGTCAATATGTTACAATCAATATTAAATAAACCATAGATCTGTAGTGCTAACGAGTGTTGAATTGTATAAAGAGAAAATTGAGTTCTTCTTCCCTGTATGCTTTGCAAAAATTTTCATCTATCTCGATCAATGACGATCGCGATGATACTGTTTTAAGGGTACCTTCCTCTTTTTAGTCATTTCTAATTCTTGAAGAAGGCATAATCGATTGATATGAAATTTTTTCCATAGATAGGGCACCTAAAATCAGGAAACATGTGTTAGAAGAAAAAAATTGTAAAACAAGATTTTCTCAGTTTTTAAGATACTTTAGACTATATCACAGAAGTGATTTTGAGTTTTTTCAAAAGTTTTGTATTCTTGTTTTTATAAGAGAAATACATTAAGGTTCGGATTTCAAAACTGTGATCTGGTGATCAAAGTTCTATAAATTTGAATAGAAAGATCAAAAACGAAAATTGTCAATATCACATCTGGAAGATACATCCGAATATCTGTAGTCAAAATTTCAGTCTGATCAGATAAAGTTAGATACGTATCGTAAGCGGGCTTATGAAAACCAGGATTTTCCCAAAAAAATGTTACATTTTTTGTTTCGAACACTTTTCTTCTTATTTTAAATGATCTACTTGTGTTAAAAGTTTCATGCGCTCTTCTTCAAATGTATATATCCTAATTAAATAATAATTTTTATTATTCTAGAGTGAACAATTAGATGATGATTTAAGAAATGCCTTAAAAATTTATCGAACAGCACGACAACCAACAGTGGCTAATATTAAAAAAAATCTTGTTGATTTTTGTCAATATTTGCCTGTTGATTATATTCAATCATCATTATTAACTAAACTCAAGAATCGTTTAGGTGAACTTTGTAATAATTTTACGACAGAAAAGTAAAATATTCTTTTTGTTTTTGTTTTGTTTCTCATGCATATACTTTTATCTATTAAATAGATGTCAAGAATTTTTAAGTCATATCGATATATATTTTTTACTTGATGAAAAATCTCCATCACGTGCAGAATTAATAATTCGAGCATTATCAATTGATAATCAATTTAATGAATATATTCAAACTATAAATCAAGAAATAACTAAAGTAGAATATTCTTTTTT